AAAGCTCTCCACACTTCATGAAACTTCTTGTTGCCCATTACATTATGAACAGGGGCAGCTGGTGAAAGAGAAGCAGTCTACACTCAGTGGTTGGAGTGAGCCAAAAGAAGCACCATAAAATTCTTCCTTCTGGTCTGACATAGGAAAAACAACTTGAAGTAAACTTAATTTCTGTGAAAATGACTTCATTAATTCATTTAAATGAATTTATGTGAAAATATTATTCCAAAAGACATTATCCTGATTGAACTGATCATACTATTTCTCTGTTGTTTCATGCATATGGTATTTTACCCCATGTAAACAGAGTTGCCATCACAAATACCTTAAAAGCAACAGAGGTATCTGAAGCTAGCATGCAGTTATTTTTATACTCCGACTGATTCAAAAAATGAACAAATGCATGCAACAAGGAAGGCTTAAAACAAAAATGTTTTTCTTTTAAGAGTAACACTTCTTAAAAATTACAGTACAGAGTCTCACTTAGTGCCCATATTTACGGGCTTATATTCCAGAAAAGTACGAGAAAGCAAACTGATGGCTGTCTTACTTAAATCTGTGCTGTACATTTTTGATAAATTAGCATTATAAATAAGCATCTTTGCACATGTTTACTGTGTTGACTGCAATTCTCTACTAAGAGCAGTTGTGTGGTAATTCGTAGATGCCAAATGGATAGGCAAAAATATTCTTAGGGTTTTGGTTTTACATATTTAGGAGTTATAAATTCACCGTGAACTTGAATTTCGTATTCAAACATACAAAAGAAACACATCAGAACGCTACAGAGAAAGAGAAAAAACATCCTGTTTAGCTACTTGCAGTGCAAATACATACAGTTTTAGGCTCATGTAGCAAATCCTTGTGCAATAATTACCAAGACTGATAATTATCAAACTCTCCTCAGTAACTGTTAGAGGTATATTTAAATTTGAATACTGAGGATGCTGCATCAAAATAAGTAGGCTTACTCCACCTTAGCAAACAATAATTAATTTCATGAATTGGTTGGAACACACACCTCCCCCCAAAAAATAAAGCATCTTCCAAGACAAAAAATTGAAGACATTTAAATTGTTAGAATTTTATTATAAAAGAACAAATATCTAAGGTTATCTCTTGTGCCTATTCCTCGAACACAAGTGATGATCATAAGTAGAATAGATATTTACAACTGTATCTTAAGAGACACAGAAACAGCTTCTCATTAGCGTCTCTTAAATTGGAGAGGATCTATCCWGGACAGGAATCATTAATGCTAGGTGACATTTTATTTGTTTATTTCATTTTAGCAGCGAGCTACTTTATCTTGGATACTAATATGAAGGGAAGGTTGGAAAAGGAGGGAACCTACACTTAAAACGTTTTCAATTAGACAGCATTGCTGCTCATGATCCTATTTTGAAACAAAGCCTTTTGGAGCATTGATACAGAATACCATTCTTAGTTGTGATATACATCTAAGTTCATATTAACTCCCACAGTAGTTCTCTTGAGGTGGTCAGATTCATTGCAAATAATTACATAGGCAGAACTGAAGGACTGATGATGTTTAAGATAGAAAAGTCCTGAGGACTAGACTGGGCCCTCCTGGGCCCACAGGAAACATGCAAGCATGCTGAACTTGCCAAAGTCTTCCACAACACAGAAAAGTTCATTACCTCAATAGGGTTTAGAAAAAAAACATCCCAGGTACCATTTGTTCACTAAATGAATTGCAAAGGACACCCAAGACTTACCATGGGTACAATAAGTAGGTGGAGGACTAGTGCAGGACTTGGTATCCCTGATCCTTTCTGCAGGAATTAGAGCTGCCTGATTTACGCCAAGCCTCCACGTGCCTGTACTGGAATGTAGGGCAAGGCCCAGGGATATTCACATAATAGCTACATCCAAAGAAGAGGTTCAGAAACCAGTTATACAGATATACCCAAATTCAGGAGTCATATTATGGTGAGTGAAGTGTTAAAGTAACTCATCTGCAGGACCCAAGTGTTTGCAGCTGCCTCCCKGGCCAAGCGGCTGGGCAGTCATTTCTGTACCCTTGCATCCCTTCCTTCTAGGCATGACACCTGTTTGGGTTATCAAAGCACCCTCAGCCTCATCCTCAGATTCATTCTACCTCACATCAGGGAAATGAAAACGCTCAGACTCCTCCACTTCCTCTGGCTGTTACAAGAACTGCACTATTGAATGTAAGGCACTTGGATCATAGAATCATAGAATGCCAAAGGTTGGAAGGGACCTCAGAGGTCATCGAGTCCAACCCCCCTGCTCATGCAGGGTCACCTAGAGCATGTGCCACAGAGCTGCATCCAAGCGGGTTTTAAAGATCTCCAAAGAAGGAGACTCCACAACCTCTCTGGGCAGCCTGTTCCAGTGCTTTGTCACCCTCACAGTGAAGAAATGCTTCCTTAAGTTCCTGTGGAACTTCCGATGCTTCAATTTGAAGCCATTTCCTCTAGTCCTATCACTGTCCACCACTGAAAAGAGGCCGCCCCCCCTCTTCCTCACTGCCTCCCTTGAGGTGTTCATAGACACTGATCAGGTCCCCCCTCAGCCTCCTCTTCTCCAGGCTGAACAGGCCCAGCTCCCTCAGCCTTTGCTCATAGGGCAGATGTTCCAGGCCCCTGATCATCCTGGTAGCCCTGCGCTGGACTCTCTCCAGCAGCTCCACATCCCTCTTGTACTGGGGAGCCCAGAACTGGACACAGTCTCCAGATGTGGCCTCACCAGGGCTGAGTAGAGGGGGATGATCACCTCCCTCGACCTGCTGGAGACGCTTTTCTTAATGCACCCCAGGATCCCGTTGGCCKTCTTGGCCACCAGGGCACACTGCTGMCTCATGGTCAACTTGTCGTCCACCATGACACCCAGGTCCCTCTCTGCGGGGCTGCTCTCCAGCAGGTCCACCCCTAATCTGTCCTGTTATCCGGGGTTATTCCTCCCCAAGTGCAGGACCCTGCACTTGCCCCTGTTGAACCTCATGAGGTTTCTCACTACCCAGTCCTCCAGTCTGTCCAGGTCCCTCTGGATGGCAGCACAGCCCTCAGGGCTATCAGCTACTCCACCCGGTTTGGTATCATCGGCAAACTTGCTGAGGGAGCACTCCAGCCCTTCATCCAGGTCGTTAATGAATAAGTTGAGCAGGACCGGACCGAGAACTGACCCCTGGGGACACCACTAAGTACAGGCCTCCAGCTGGACTCTGCACCATTGACAACCACTCTCTGCACCCTGCCATCGAGCCAATTCCTAATCCACCTCCCCGTCCACACATCTATCCCACACCTTCGGAGCTTGACCAGGAGGATGCTGTGAGGGACAGTGTCAAAAGCCTTGCTCAAATCCAGATAGATGACATCCACCGCTCTGCCCTCATCTATCCAGCTAGATATTCCTTCGTAGAAGGTGATCAGGTTAGTCGAGCAGGATTTCCCCTTGGTGAATCCATGCTGGCTACTCCTGAGCACCTTCTTCTSCTCCATGTGTCTGGAGAGAGCAGCCAGGATGAGCTGCTCCATCACTTTCCCGGGGACGGAGGTGAGGCTCACCGGCCTGTAGTTACTCGGGTCCTCCTTCTTGCCTTTTTTGAAGACCGGAGTGATGTTGGCTTTCTTCCAGTCCTCCGGCACCTCCCCCGTTCTCCAGCACCTTCCAAAGATGATGGCGAGCGGCTCGGCTAGGACATCTGCCAGTTCCCGCAACACTCTGGGGTGCATCCCATCTGGGCCCATGGATTTGTGGGTGTCGAGGCTCCCTAGATGCTCTCTGACCCACTCTTCCTCTACCCAGGGCAAGCCTTCCTCTCTCTGGCTCTCTTCGTGTGTCCCTAGGGCCTGGGATTCTAGAGGGCTGCCCCCGACAAACACAGAAGCAAAGGCAGCATTCAGCAGCTCTGCTTTGTCCGTGTTTTTCATGACCCATTCACTAGTGGACCCACGTTCTCCCTGACCTTCTTTTTGTTGTTGATATATTTGAAGAAGGATGCAACACAAACCAGTCCGCGACATACTAAAGTGAACACTGTTCCTCTAAATATACTTTTTATTAATTCATATACTTAGGTATAGCATAGCTCACTGCCTGATAGTTCTTTCAAGATAAAAGAGCAGGCATTTTTTGAGGAGATAGCCTTCATGCTCTATAACTGTAGAAAACATTATTGGTAAAAATGAATCCAAAAATCAGGTGCCAATAAGATTAGGCAATATATTTCAAACTAGAAGACATTAAAAAAGGAAAATCAAATGCCAAATGATTTTGAAAACAGAATGGAAAAAATATATATATGCTAAATCATTTATGAAGCAAATAGCAGTCTTGCATTTATTTCTCCTTTTAGTAACAGCATACCCACAAGATGAATTTATTTTTACAAACCGAAGTGCTTTGATATTTTTGAAAGGTTCATTTATATTTCTCAAAAGGTTCATTTCAATACAATCTTCATCACTTTTCAGCTTTCTGTGCATTCAATTTGATGTCCTAGAAACTGATGGCATATTGCTATCTTTGAAACACTTAATAAAGAATTAATCCCTAAAGTTTAAACACAATTAAAAACCCTAGGGAAAACATTTTTATCTTATAAAGCATTCATTTACCAATATTTAAAAAAACAAGCAATTATCTTAGTATTTGCTCAGATTCTATACATTTCTGTAGATCTCATTAAATCCTTTTCTGGGAAAAAAATAGCTCCCTCCCTCCCCTCCCCTCTATCCTCTAAAACCATAATAGATGACTAGAATTACCTCTGGTAGTGAAGTAAACCAACAGTACCTTAAAAAAAAATCTTAACTTACACATATTTTCACAGCTAGTTTAGAATTACTTTTTACGTAGTTAGTAAATTCACATTAGATAAATAACTAGGCCTATTATAATTGGACTATGTTACACGACTGTAAAATACCCACAGGAATTATTTTTTCTTATTTTTTTCCCCCCGAGTATCCTTCACTGGTTCAAGTGCCTTCTGTCAAAGTAAGTCTCACCTTTGTCCCRTGAGATGACTTCTTCTTCACGTCAGAAAAAGACAGGGAGTTACTGGGAAGGTTGGGGAGATGAAGGCTCTGTCCTGAAGAGATTGATGTGCCATCTGACATTACCATGATCTGCCATAAGAGGAAAWGCATATTAAGTCAAATATCATGAGACATGCATACATAAATATTCTGACCTGTCAAAGGAATTAGCAAACGAGAGGGAATTAGCCAGCCACTGATRGAATACTACTTGTCCAAAATATACATTTAATGAACAAATTGCACCTTTTGATTTCCATGCAAGTACAACACAAGCCTTGAGGAAGTGACACAACTTCCCCATTCCTGTTCCATTCCTGTTCCTTACATAGCACTATTCCTGAGCCCTAAATTAGCATCTCTTTCTTATTCACTTTAGTTCAGCTTTGGTATGAAAACAGTGTAACTCTACATGTCAGAACTCCTCATTGTCAGAGACTAGATCTGCATCAACTTCAGGCTTCTGCCTTATGAGTTCTAAAGCACATCCCTCGTAAGCAAATAGTGTTTCTCTGTACCAAGAGTCTAGYACTGTCACCTGTTTGTTAATTTTAAAGACTCGTGAATACAAAAGATCAAACGCAGAGGGCACAGAAGATTCAGCCATGGTTAGAGTGGTTACTAGACGTGTTGAAATTCATGCTTTCCATCAAAGATGATCTCCGTACCTGTTGCCTGTGCTCTAGTGCTGCTGTGCCTTTATCTTGCTACTGCTTAGCAAAGCTAATACATTATTTGTTTTTTCAAAAATACTAAATAGCAGACACAGCTGACTACTGTCTGACAAACCTTGCAAGTCTAGAGATAAGTTAGAGATCTGCAGATCTGCAACTGCAAGGAAGCTACAGGATCCCACATAGCACTTTCATTTACTTTCCTGGATCACCTTTGCCCCTCACATCACCCAAAAAGTTTCTCCTTGATCACAGGTTGCTGCATTAAAATATCTGTCTATAAAATAACCTATTTATATAATCATCAAACACTCTATGAAATAGGAGTCTGCACAGAACTCCAAAAATAATAATAAAAAAATCCTTTCAATTTGTAATCAAGGTAAAGTCAATATGAATAAGTTATTGTGGTTTAGCACATTAGGTGATTTTACTTCAGGCTGACATTTACCGTCACCTCCACATGCCAAGGGTTCTGATTGAATTGAGTCCAGATGAAAGCAAGGAAAGGGAGAAGCGAGCAGAGAATGACGAGTAACAAGGATAATGAATGTTACCACAAAATCTGCCGCCATACATACACACACAACATACACAAAATGGTCATGACCATCATTCTCTTTAATGGACCCACTTAAATTGGTTGATTAAATAAAACCGTTGGTTTTTGCACTGAGTTTAATCTAAAGGAGAACATTCTTTGTAGAAAATACCACCTGCACTAAAATCAGAAGACTGTTCAGCAGAAGTAAACATAAGCTCACACTTAAAGAGTTTAAACAGGTCATTTACTGAAAAAGAGGAGTTCTGTCTATATACTTGTATGAGTGAATCTGCATATCTGTGCGTCAGAGACAGTCAAGAGAATCAAGGTTCACCTTACTTTGATTATAAAAGCAAAGAAACAAGCAAACAAATCTGCTTTGGATCCTTCTCCTAGGGTTGGGAGTTGCCAGTTTTTCCTTGGAACATAAGATTCAGACTAAAGAACCACTATTTTTCTTAATTTAAATTGTAAAAATCTATGTTAAAAATATTTACATATTCAATAAAATATGCAATTATTCTCACAAAGCTGATATTTTGAGAGGCTTCTAGGTCTTTTAGATTGTTAATTTCTGGGCTAGTATCCATTAAACTGTTATATGTTATTGACATTTGCAGTRTCAGGATTGCAGAATACTAAGGAGCTCTCTATAGGAAGAGCTGTAGGGCTGGGACAACAGTCWCATCATCTCAGTACAGGTAGGCCTGGCAAATCTAGCTCCAGACAAATAGGCAAAAAATCCAACATAGATTTCAGAAAACAAAAATCTAGCTAGCATATCCAGAAGGAGAAATTATGAATTCATGTCTCACTGCAAGTTACTAATTCTGCAGCAAGAGTTAAAGTTAATAAAAATGTATCAAGACTTCTCTGGGTCAAAGTCAACTTTGAAAATAAAAACAAAATGAAAAAGAGAAAAAGAAACCATATTCTTCTGCATTGCATGTTTCTTACCAGGTTGCAGTTGTGGAGGGCAATGCACTGCAATGAGTCGAGGGAACTGTTGTAGGCTTCACTTAGGCTTGTGCTTGGGCTTACCTGCTCTCAGAATGATCCACTATATGGACAGCATGTATCAGCAACTGTATTTATTCCTCTTGTCAGCCCCTTCCATGCATTACTGCTTTGCTCAGACAGGTGGCCAACTTAGGGGGATTAAGACAAGGAGGTGGGATCTAACACCAGGGCCAGTGTTAACGAAGCAAGGTGAGATCACAGAGGCAACAGGTTGACTTTAAACAAAACAGTTAAGGTCATAATGTTATCACATTCTGGATTCACGACTATTTAAAGCTGGAAGTTCTAGTTATAGTCGTGCTGTTCTCTCACAGAGTTAGCACAAGATGGATATATGAAAGCAAAGGTCTAGCTAAGTTCACAGCATGTCTTGAGTGCTGTCCTGTTCTAGTACTTTTCCTCAAACCATCAATGTCAACCAGTAACGAAATGCTGTTATTCTCCTGTTCCCCATCTCCTCCTCCCTTAGCTTACAGAAAACAATGTTTTAGGAATCTTACATGCCAGAAGCTCTATCCCCATCACTGTCTTGAATAACCTTAGTGTTGTTCTATTAGACAAGTTTCCCTAATTACTTTGTTGATCACTGGTATTTGGAGATGTGAAACTTCTGTAGCAATTACTTCCATAACTTCATTGTGCATCTTCAGGAAGTGCTTCCTCATGAGTATATTAAACCCACTGCCTGGTTCTCCATTTGGCGCCCTCATATTTTTCCTGTTATGACAGGGTTTCCTACAGCATGGGCTTAGCTTATGAAACCCTGAAGCATATTACTGACACGAGAGTTTGAAACTATAACTGTCAAACAAGATAATTGGGGCTCCAGTCATTACAGTGAAAGGATTTCTCCACAAAATGGCTTGATTCTGTGGACATCACTGATCATGCCAGAAACAGGAGTGAACAGCTTTGCAAACTGAAGAATCTGGCTTAGTCAAAAATTAGTGGCTAGCTGGGTATTGAAGGATCATTGCGAGAGTCAAACAGTGGTACAAGGGCAGCCCAACTATTGGTGGAAAAGCTCTCGACACTCTCAGTCCTCCTCTTCCAAAAATATGAAGACTTCTAAAGCTATTGAAGGAGAGAAAGCAATGAAAAAAGATCTCCAGAAGCACTAAAAACATTTATTAAAAGAAAAAAAAAAAAAAAAGAGTGAAGGAGTCAGATCAACCAGTGGAGAAAGAGTATGTGCAAATAAGGTTAAGGTGGATCACAGGAAAACTAGATAGTTCTGGCAACGATCTGTGGCTTGGCCACATCCTGTCAGTGGCATAAGAGAAATGTCAGAGAACCAAATTCTAAGCTGAGAAGTGGACCTAAAATAACAATTCCAGCTGTAGCATATTATATAAGGCTTTTCCAATACCTAACTCAGGAGCAAACAGAAAGTCTCAATGCAAGCTTAAGAATAAAACAAAGAAAGAAATTACATACAAAAAACAGGCTTCTAGCAAGAAAGCTTTGGAAGAAATCAGAAACTTAGGGAAGTATGAGCTCTAAATTCGTGCTAGTATTTAAAAAAGATTTTAAAACAGGAGACTGGAGAAATGCAGACAAGTATAGAATTAAATACTGATTGCAAAGATGCATCTTCCTGAATGAAGCTAGGAAAAAGAATATTTTAAAGTTCAGTTAAGAAACAGTGAACTCTTAAAAAGGAATACTTTTTAAATGGGTCATGTAAAAATAGGCAGTTGAACACAGCACTAAATATTTWAAAAAAAAAGTTGGATTAACTGGAATATCTGGTTCTGAGTAAACATTCAAAACACAGTCAGAAGAAAATAATTCACTTCACAGTGTTACATTAGCACATATATGGCTCAAATGACAGAATAAATTCTATTAAGAGATACCTCTTCATGCTGAGGCTTTATTTTCTGGGAGGGAAGGGGGTACCGGGTGTTTAAAGTTAAAGGAAATATATGTAACATTAAATTTATCTACAGAGCTATAGAAAACTTCTAAAGAATAAAAACATACAAAATAAAAATTCCTTCCATCCATAGGAAGCAACTTGTATTATGCAATGTGAATGACAATAAAAAAAGGGTTCTATAAAAATAATGACAATAAAAAGAGGACTGCTCAATGGGGCAATAGACCTTGTGACAAATGGCACGAGAAAGAATGAGATGCTCAATGATTTTTTTGTTGTTGTTTCCCTCTGTCCCCCAATTTTCACTAGTCAGGTCTATCCTCTGGCTTCCAAGGTCCCTGAACCTCCTGCTGAAGTCTGAAAGAGGCAAATGGCAAGCGACCCATGGGAGAGTAGGACTGAGTTTAGATGCCCTTCAGACCCTGGCACACAGAGAAATCTATGGAACAAGAAGGGATGCATCTGAGGATGCCAAAGGATCTCTCTAGTATCTTCAAAAAGATACTGGCAATTAGGGAAGGTTCCTAATGACCAGAAAAAAAAAGGCATCACAACTTCATGTGCAAATAGAAAGGACTGGCAGGCTTAATAACTTTTGTTCAATAGTATAAGGCCCAAACAGACACCAACTACTAGTAGTGTTCCTCAGAAATCAACATTTGGTCCAATACYGCCATGTCTTCATTAATGTCTCGGCACAATGGAGTGAAATTTTGGCAATTTCATGATAGTAACAAGTTCAGTGGAGTAACCAGARTGCTAGAAGGGAGGACTGTCACTTAAACGAAATCCGGACCTGCTGAGGAAATGAATGGATGAGAACCTTAGAGATTCCCAAACAGATGAAGAGCCAACACAATACAGAAACTTGAGCCCTGGAAAGGATTAACCCTTTGCAACAGAAAAGGCTGAGGCTGACTTATATGGGAGCAGTTTTGCAAAACAGGCCCTGATGATTGTGATGGACAAG